GGGCAGGACTAAGCCTCATGTGGACAGGAGAGAGGCAGTCACAGGGAAGCTGGAGCCATGATTGCCATGGGGCCTGAGGACTCAGGAGGGTAGGGGTCAGCCTCCAGTGGGCTGGAGAGAGACTGTAAGGGGGAAGCTGGAGGCATGCCGGACACAGGGGCTGAGGACAGAGGAGGGCAGGATTCAGCCTCAAGTGGGCTGGAGAGAGGCAGTCACAGGGAAGCTGGAGCTGTGCCAGCCACAAAGGCTGAGAAAGGAAGAGGGCAGGATGCAGCCTAAAGTGGGCAAGAAAGAGGCTGTTACAGGGAAACTGGAGCAATGCCGGCCATGGTTGCTGAGGAAGAAAGAGAGCAGGACTCAGCCTTGAGTGGGCAGGAGAGAGGCTGTCATAGGAAAGCAGGAGCCCTGTTGGCTACGGGGGCTGAGGACAGAGGAGGGCAGGACTCAGCCTTGAGTGGGCAGGAGAGAGGCTGTCACAGGAAAGCAGGAGCCCTGCTGGCTACGGGGGCAGGGGGGCTGAGGACAGAGGAGGGCAGGACTCAGTCTCATGTGCACAGGAGAGAGGCAGTCACAGGGAAGCTGGAGCCTAGATGGCCACGGGGCCTTAGGACTGAGAAGGGCAGGGGTCAGCCTCCAGTGGGCTGGAGAGAGGCTGTCAGGGGAAAGCTGGAGGCATGATGGCCACAGGGGCTGAGGACAGGAGGGCAGAATTCAGCCTTGAGTGGGCAGGAGAGAGGCTGTCACAGGGAAGCTGGAGATGTGCCGGCCACGGGGGCTGAGAACGGAGGAGGGCAGGACTCAGCCTCAAGTGGGCAGGAGAGAGGCAATCACAGGTAGCTGGAGCCCTGCTGGCCACGGGGGCCTGAGAACAGAGGAGGGCAGGACTTACTTAGCCTTGAGTGAACAGCAGAGCAGCTGTCAGGGGGAAGCTGGAGATGTGCCGGCCAAAGGGGCTGAGAGCGGAGGAGGGCAGGACTCAGCCTCCAGTGGGCAGGAGAGAGGCAGTCACAGGGAAGCTGGAGCCATGACTGCCATGGGGTCTGACGAGTGAGGAGGCCAGGACTCAGCCTTAAGTGGGCATGAGAGAGGCTGTCACAGGCAAGCTGGAGCTCTGCTGTCCACAGGGCCTGAGGACAAAGGAGGGCAGGACTCAGCCTCATGTGGGCAGGAGAGAGGCAGTCACAGGGAAACTGGAGGCCTGCCGGCCATGGGGGGTGAAGACGAAATTGGGCAGGACTCAACCTTGAGTGGGCAGGAGAGCGTCTGTCACAGGGAAGTTGGAGCCCTGCTGGCCTCGGGCCTGATGACGGTGGAGGGCAGGGCTCAGCCTTGAATGAGCAGGAGAGAAGCTGCCAGGGGAAAGCTAGAGCCATCCTGGCCACTGTGGCTGAGAGTGGAGGACGGCAGGACACAGCCACAAGTGGGCAGGAGAGAGGCAGTCACAGGGAAGCTGGAGCTGTGCCGGCCACAGGGGCTGAGAGCGGAGGAGGGCAGGACTCAGCCTCAAGTGGGCAGGAAAGAGACAGTCATATCGAAGCTAGAGCCGTGACTGCCACGGGGTCTGAGAACTGAGGAGGCCAGGACTCAGCTTTAAGTGGGCATGAGAGAGGCTGTCACAGGCAAGCTGGAGCCCTGCTAGCCATGGGGGGCTGAGGACAGAGGAGGGCAGGACTTAGCCTTGAATGAACAGGAGAGATGCTGTTAGGCATAAGCTGGAGGCCTGCCGGCCATGGGGAGTGAGGAGTAAAGAGGGCAGGAATCAGTCTTGAGTAGGCAGGAGAAAGTCTGTCACAGGGAAGCTGGAGCCCTGCTGGCCATGGGGCCTGAGGATGTTGGAGGGCAGGGCTCAGCCTCAAGTGGGCAGAAGAGAGACAGTCATAGGGAAGCTGGAGCCCTGCTGGCCACGGGGCCTGAGAACTGAGGAGGACCGGGTCAGCCTTGAGTGGGCAGGAGAGAGGCAGTCACAGGGAAGCTGGAGCCCTGTTGGCCATGGGCCTGAGGACTGAGGAGGGCAGGACTCAGCCTTCAGTGGGGAGGAGAGAGGCAGTCACAGGGAAGCTGCTGCCATGCGGGCCACAGGGCCTGAGCACAGAGAAGGGCTGGACTCAGACTTGAGTGGGCAGGAGAGAGGCAGTCACGGGCAAGCTAGAGCCATGTGGGCCACAGGGGTGAGGACGGAGGAGGGCAGGACTCAGCCTCAAGTGGGCTGGAGAGAAGTAGTCCCAGGGAAACTGGAGCCGTGCCGGCCACGGTTGCTGAGGACGAGGGAGGGCAGGGCTCAGCCTTGAGTGGGCAGGAGTGAGGCAGTCACAGGGAAGCTGCAGCCATGCCGGCCACAGGAGCTGAGCACATGGGAGGGCTGGACTCAGCCTCAAGTGGGCTGGAGAGAGGCAATTCCAGGGAAGCTGGAGCCATGCTGGCCACAGTTGCTGAGGACGGAGGAGAGCAAGACTCAGCCTTGAGTGGGCAGGAGAGAGGCAGTCACAGGGAAGGTGGAGCCGTGCGGTCTACAGGGGCTGAGGACGGAGGAGGGCAGGACTCAGCCTTGAGTGGGCAGGAGAGAATCAGTCACAGGGAAGCTAGAGGCCTCTTGGCCACGGGGCCTGAGAACACAGGAGGGCAGGACTTAGCCTTGAATGAACAGGAGAGATGCTGTTAGGCGGAAGCTGGAGGCCTGCCAGCCATGGGGAGTGAAGACGAAATTGGGCAGGACTCATTCTTGAGTGGGCAGGAGAGAATCTGTAACAGGGAAGATGGAACCCTGCTGGTCAGGGGGCCTGAGGTTGTTGGAGGGCAGGACGCAGCCTCAAGTGGGCAGGAGAGAGGCAGTCACTGGGAAGCTGGAGGCCTGTTGGGCTTGGTGCCTGAGAACAGAGGAGGGCAGGACTCAGCCTTGAGTGAACAGCAGAGAGGCTGTCAGAGGGAAGCTGGTGATGTGCCGGCCAAAGAGGCTGAGAACGGAGGAGGGCAGGACTCAGCCTCCAGTGGGCAGGATAGAGGCAGTCACAGCGAAGCTGGAGCCGTGCCAGCCAACGTTGCTGAGGATGGAGGATTGCGGGACTCAGCCTCAAGTGGGTAGGAGAGAGGCAGTCACAGGGAAGCTGGAGCCATGCTGGCCATGGGGACTGAGGACAGAGGAAGGTAGGACTCAGCCTCAAGTGGGCATGAGAGGCTGAGCCTTGCTGGTAGTGGCATTGCCCAGCTGAGAGGAGAATGGAAATTACCCATGGGCCACCATGAGCCCCAGGGTTGTTCTGAGGCAGAGGGAGTCCTCGGCCCATGGGGTCCCATTCCAGGGTCTCACATGAAATGTCCATTCCACAATTAAAATATATGTCTTTATGCACAATGTGTTGCAGGCCTCCACATCTGTCGCCCTGCATTTCGTAACTCCGGGACTGAAGTCCCCTGAATATTTGTGCTGGGTCTCGTTGCTTTTGCACCACTGACATCTTACCCATTAAACGCTGCTGGCAGAGCTCCGGCCTGTGGTGGCTGTGGCAATGACAGTGTGCTGGGCCTTGCTGCCCTGCATGGGCACTGCTGGCTTGTCTGCGTGGGGGCCTAACTCTCAGGGGACTGGGCTGTCAGGGCGGCTCTGTCTGGCAGGACCCCCCCCAGTCCTCCTCCATCACAAATACCCCCAGGGCAGAGCTGCTGTGGGGTGCAGCATCCTGGCACCTGGCTCCTGAGGGTTTTCAAACTTGGGGGTTGAGGCACCATTTGAGGCTCAGACAGGGCCATGTGTTTTGGAGGTTGACCAGCAGGAAGCCCCCCGTCACATGCCGGGGGGGCAGGGAGGCCCAGCCATGGGCTCAGCCACAGCCTAAGCCATGCAGGGGATAACAGGAAGAGGAGACCCCATGCCCAGCACCCTGCCCTGGCTGCGCAGTCCCACGATTGCAGGCTGCTCACATGCCAAGTAGTTGGGGACAAATCCAAAGTATGTTTTCTGACATGCAGAAATTATATAAGGGGCTGGGAAGGTGGCTCAGTGGTAGAGTGCTTGCCTTGCATGCATGAAGCCCTGGGTTCGATTTCTCAGTACCACAGATACAGGAAAAAGCCACAAGTGGTGCTGTGGCTCAAGTGGTAGAGTGCTTGCCTTGAGCAAAAGAAGCTCAGGGACAGCATCCAGGCCCTGAGTTCAAGCCCCAGGACTGGCGCTATCTATCTGTACAAAATTATGTAAAGCTGGGTCAGCAGCTCATTTGCTGTTCTCTCGTGGTGGGTTTGCCAGCTCCACGAGCAGAGCACTTTGGACAATGGCCTAGGACCTAAGGAGCCTCAGAACATTGCTGTTCCCTCCCAGACCCTCTATTGAGGCAGTGGCTGAAAGGTGACCCCAACACTGGTGAAACATGGCCTCCATCCAGGAAGCCACAAACTGGGCCCCAGCGTATTAAAATATTAAGTAAAACCAAAACATCATTAAGTAAAACTAAGTGTGATACAGCCGTGTTCCACAGAGATGCCTTCCACTGCGATGCCCAGGGGCAGGGCAGCTGGGCTCTTGGCCTGAGGTCCCCTCCTTCAGCCCTCAGCGCAGGGATGCCGTGCCCCGGGCAGCGGCCTACCAGCCTGCAGCCTGTCACCAGGAAACCTGGTCCCAGCATGCTCTCAGGTGCTGCTGTGCCCCTGCCTCGGCCCCAGGGACGGTCACCTGCTAGGAGTGCCCCTCCCGGGCAGCATTCCATGCCCCCATCCCTAGGACTGGGCATGTCCAGTGCCAGCTCAGGGCTGAGGGGCTGAGACTGACTGTGTGGAAGCAGGAACTGGAAACTTGCCCAGTGCTGTGGGCTCTTTCCTTGTGGTCCTCCACTTGTGGTTTGAGTTGAACACCAGAGGTCTGAGTCGGAGGCCCTTGGGGTTCCCCGCTTGCCCTCCTCTGGCCCCCAAAACCTCCAACCCGGGTACCCCAGACTGAGCCTGCCAGCCTAAGGCCAGAGCTCTTCCGGAGCTTGCCTCAGGAGCGCCAGTGACCCCTTCCCTCCATTTAGGGGGCGATTGCAGAGCTGAGGGTGCGTGGAGACCCCAAGGTGAACCTTCGGCACTGCCTGGATGAAGAAGACGATGATGAGGATGGGGTGAGTTACCTGGGCTGGGCCAGCAGGGCTCAGAGAAGAGCTGTCCACCCCGCGGGACCCCACAGGAGGGAGACAGGGCCTGGAGGAGGGCTCTCCACACCCCAGGACCCCAGATCATGCTCCAGGGAAGGCTTAAAAGATGCCACTGAATCAGGGATGCGGACAGCCTTGACAACCTTGTCCTGACCTGTGCAGGCTCCTCTCACCTTCCACATCTGAAAGCAGGGCACAGAGTGAATGTTAGAAACCAGGAACAAGCCACAAGTGGTAGAGGGTCGCCACAGTGAAGTGTGTGTGCGTGTGTGTGTGTGTGTGTGCGTGTGTGCGTGTGTGTGTGTGGTGTGTGTGTGCGTGTGTGTGTGTGTGGTGTGTGTGCGTGTGTGTGTGTGCGTGTGTGTGTGTGTGTGTGTGTGTGTGTGTGTGTGTATGCGTGATACGTACATGGCGGGCCCGGTGGTATCTCTAATCTGTGTGTGTCTGTATTGTATGTGGTATGTGTCTACATGTAATTTGTGTCTATAGCTACCTGTGTGTATGCTGGTGTAGTGTGTGTATGTGGTATGTGCATGTGTGCGTTTGTATGTATCTGTGTGCATATACCATGTGTGGTCTATGTCTGTGTTGTAGAGCATCTCTGCTGCAGTGTGTATGTGTATGTGTCTAGGTGTGCCTCTGTATGTGTGCCTGTCTGTCTAGGTGTATCTGAGTGTGTGTCTAGGTATGTGTGTGTGCCTATGTGTCTAGGTGTATCTGAGTGTGTGCCTGTGTGTCTAGGTATATCTGCGTGTGTGTGCCTATGTGTCAAGGTGTACCTGTGTGTGTGTACGTGCCTGTGTGTATAGGTGTACCTGCAGGTGTGTGTGTGTGTCTAGGTGTGCCTCTGTATGTGTGCCTGTATGTGTACCTGCGTGTGTGTGCGTGCACGCCTGTGTATCTAGGTGTACCTGCATGCGTGTGCCTGTGTGTCTAGGTGTACCTACGTGTGTGTATGTGTGTGTGTACCTGTGTATCTAGGTATGCCTACGTGTGTGTACATGTGTGTGTGTGTACCTGTGTGTCTAGGTGTATCTGAGTGTGTCTAGGTATGTGTGTGTGCCTGTGTGTCTAGGTGCACTTGCATGTGTATATGTGTGTGTATCTGTGTATCTAGGTGTACCTGCATGTGTATGCGTGCCTGTGTGTCTAGGTGTACTTGCGTGTGTGTGTGAGCCTGTGTGTCTAGGTGTACCTGCATGAGTGTGTGCGTGTGCATGTGTACGTGCCTGTGTGTCTAGTTGTGCCTGTGTGTGTGTATGTGTGCCTTGTGTCTAGGTGGTTTGGATACAATTAGAGGACACAGATGGGAAGTGACATGAGCCACAGAGGCTAGAGGACAGGAGGAAAGTAGCCTTCCCTGGAGACCCCATTCTCTGTGCTGATCCCCAGGGAGACCCTGTCCCCTGTGCTGACCCCTGGAGAGGCTCGGTCCCCCTTCTGCCATTCCCCTCCTCAGCTCCACACCTAGGGCGTGTGTGTGTACCTGGCAGTGGGCAGTGCCGTCTGTCTCTGCCTGCATGTTCAGCAGTGGTCTGTCCGCCTGCATGTTCAGCAGTGGTCTGTCCGCCTGCATGTTCAGCAGTGGTCTGTCCGCCTGCATGTTCAGCAGTGGTCTGTCTCCGCTTGCATGTTCAGCAGTGGTCTGTCTGCTTGCATGTTCAGCAGTGGTCTGTCTGCTTGCATGTTCAGCAGTGGTCTGTCTGCTTGCGTGTTCAGCAGTGGTCTGTCTGCCTGCATGTCCAGCAGTAGTCTGTCTCCGCTTGCATGTTCAGCAGTGGTGTGTCCACCTGCATGTTCAGCAGTGGTCTGTCCGCCTGCATGTTCAGCAGTGGTGTGTCCGCCTGCATGTTCAGCAGTGGTCTGTCCGCCTGCATGTTCAGCAGTGGTCTGTCCGCCTGCATGTTCAGCAGTGGTCTGTCCGCCTGCATGTTCAGCAGTGGTCTGTCCGCCTGCATGTTCAGCAGTGGTCTGTCCGCCTGCATGTTCAGCAGTGGTCTGTCCGCCTGCATGTTCAGCAGTGTGTCTCCGCCTGCATGTTCAGCAGTGGTCTGTCCGCCTGCATGTTCAGCAGTGGTCTGTCCGCCTGCATGTTCAGCAGTGGTCTGTCCGCCTGCATGTTCAGCAGTGGTCTGTCCGCCTGCATGTTCAGCAGTGGTCTGTCCGCCTGCATGTTCAGCAGTGGTCTGTCTCCGCCTGCATGTTCAACAGTGGTCTGTCTCCGCTTGCATGTTCAGCAGTGGTCTGTCTCCGCTTGCATGTTCAGCAGTGGTCTGTCCGCCTGCATGTTCAGCAGTGGTCTGTCTCCGCTTGCATGTTCAGCAGTGGTCTGTCCGCCTGCATGTTCAGCAGTGGTCTGTCTCCGCTTGCATGTTCAGCAGTGGTCTGTCCGCCTGCATGTTCAGCAGTGGTCTGTCTCCGCTTGCATGTTCAGCAGTGGTCTGTCTGCTTGCATGTTCAGCAGTGGTCTGTCTCCGCTTGCATGTTCAGCAGTGGTCTGTCTCCGCTTGCATGTTCAGCAGTGTGTCTCCGCCTGCATGTTCAGCAGTGGTCTGTCTCCGCTTGCATGTTCAGCAGTGGTCTGTCTCTGCCTGCATGTTCAGCAGTGGTCTGTCCGCCTGCATGTTCAGCAGTGGTCTGTCCGCCTGCATGTTCAGCAGTGGTCTGTCTCCACTTGCATGTTCAGCAGTGGTCTGTCCGCCTGCATGTTCAGCAGTGGTGTGTCTCCGCCTGCATGTTCAGCAGTGGTCTGTCTCCGCTTGCATGTTCAGCAGTGGTCTGTCTCCGCCTGCATGTTCAGCAGTGGTCTGTCCGCCTGCATGTTCAGCAGTGGTCTGTCCGCCTGCATGTTCAGCAGTGGTCTGTCCACCTGCATGTTCAGCAGTGGTCTGTCCGCCTGCATGTTCAGCAGTGGTCTGTCCGCCTGCATGTTCAGCAGTGGTCTGTCCGCCTGCATGTTCAGCAGTGGTCTGTCTCCGCCTGCATGTTCAGCAGTGGTCTGTCTGCTTGCATGTTCAGCAGTGGTCTGTCCACTTGCATGTTCAGCAGTGGTCTGTCTGCTTGCATGTTCAGCAGTGGTCTGTCTCCGCTTGCATGTTCAGCAGTGGTCTGTCTCCGCCTGCATGTTCAGCAGTGGTCTGTCCACCTGCATGTTCAGCAGTGGTCTGTCCGCCTGCATGTTCAGCAGTGGTCTGTCCACCTGCATGTTCAGCAGTGGTCCGTCCGCCTGCATGTTCAGCAGTGGGGTCTGTCCACCTGCATGTTCAGCAGGTGCCCAAGGCAGCCCCAACTCGGTGTTACACTTGGTGGCTGTCCAGTGCAGGGTACCACTGCCCCTCCTGGCCTGGCTACCTTCATGCCAGGTCAAGAGTAGGCTTGGATGGTGCTTCTCCAGGTGGTACTACATTAAAACCACCTTTGTGGAGAGGAGCTCAAGTGTCCAGTCCAGGCGGTGAAGGGCCAGATGTGGCCTTGGGTGCCAGTGCCTGGGCTCCTGGCTGGGCAGGAGTGGACTCCTCTGCTGACCCAGCCCTGCAGGGGCAGCTGTGGTCACCTTTCTTCCTGACTTGCCTCACCTCCCACAGGCATCTGGAGACTTTGGAAGTGGCCTGGAGGATGGCCATAGGCCCCATGGAGAGGACACGGTGAGTTGCTGGATGAGGCCCAGGCCGCCTCTGGGCCTGGGAAGGTCTTCCAGGGCCTGCCTGGTGGCGGGGGCCAGCACAGGGCCCATGTGCTCGTGTGGCATGTGGCAGAGTGGAGACAAATGCCCAGCTGCACATGGCACTGAGCCACGAGTTCGCCGGCTCCTCCCGGCTCCCTGTGCCCTTCGCCCTCGGCCCACAGACCCCGATAAAGCAGCTCCCTGGTCTTCGAGGTGATTGTTAGCCAGTAGGGCATTGGGAGGGAGCTATGTCCACTGGCCATGTCCAGCGAGAGCACAGCCCGTGACCACACAGTGTTTCTGGGTTCTTACACGTGGAGAGTCTGGCCTGAAGACAGGAGAGACAGAAGCCAGCCGGCAGCCATGCTGGGCTCCACAGAGGACCCTGTCGTGCATGCATGGAGACCCTCCAGGCACGGGACCCCAGGACCCAGGACGATGAAGTCTTGGAGCTGGCAGCTCTGGACTGTTTTTAATTTTTTTCTTAAATCATGCAAATCGTGTTCAACCCGAGCCTGAGAGCTGTGGGTGCAGCACTGCCCCACCGTCATCCCGGCTCCCCTCCCGCAGGACACACCCCTGCAGCCCGGCCTGCCCCTGCCTTCCCCAGCCTCCCTCCCACCCTTGGCCGGAGGGAGCCCCATGGAGAGTTCCAGAACTGAAGAAACAGAGGACGAAATCATGGTGGATTCTTTCGGAGGTGATGCTTCTCGGGTGCCCCTGTGGTGTGTGTGGCGGGTGGCGGGTGAGGGTGGCGGGGGGAGGAACCCCATCTCCACCCACGGCTGCCCTGCCATGCAGTAGGGCCACAGTAGCACAGCTCCCCTCCAGGTCCAGACATCTGGGCCCAGCCCCAGGACGTGGCCTCCTTCCCATGTGTCCCTTCCATTGTTTCTGGCTGGAGCGTGTGGGGACCAGCCTGGGGACCCCCAGGGTGCCCAGAGAACATGCTCTGGCCTGAGGGAGAGGAACGGGCTTTGCCCAAGGTCTGCCACGGGTCAGTGGCCAGAGTCAGGCATGGCCTGCAGAGGTGCGGCTGGGATGGGATGGGGGGGGGGCATTCACTGATGTTTGTGCCTGTGGGAATCGGCCATCCACTGCTGGACTGCATGCCCACAGACCTACCCCACTTCCCATCTCCTAGCTCCTTGTGGTGGAAGCCAGGCCAGGCCTGTGGGTCGGCAGTGTGCTTGGAGGCTTGGGGACAGCTCAGTTCCTTGTGCCCATCCACCCAGGTGCCTGCCTCCTGCAGGCTTTCAGCATGGAACCGCTCAGCTTCTTGGAGATGCTTACCTACTCCGCCCCTGAGTGGGCAAAGTGTCCCCTCAGAGGCAGGAGTGGACGCGGCTGGCCGTGGCCTCAGGTCACCCAGCCTCATGCTCATCTGTGCCTGAGGCAGGAGGACAGGCACACGTCCACACCACAGGGCCTCTCCGGCCCTTTGCCGCCCCTCCCGCACCGCACCCCTGGCCCCCTTTCTGACATCACGAGCAGTAGCCTTTCCTAGGATTTCACCAAACGCATCGCTGGAGGGTTGGCTCTGCAGCTCATTTAAGATTCATCCATGTCATAGTTTGCCAGTGGTTCAGCCACATGCCACTGCGTACACTGACCAGTGCGTCCGTCCTTCCAGCTGACTGGTCTGTCCATCCTCCCCGCTGACCAGGGTGTCCATCCTCCCCGCTGACCAGTGTCCATCCTCCCAGCTGACCAGTGCATCCATCCTCCCCGCTGACCAGTATGTCCATCCTCCCCACTGACCTGTGTGTCCATCCTAACTGCTGACCAGTGTGTCCATCCTCCCCGCTGACCAGTGTGTCCATCCTCCCCGCTGACCAGTGCATCCATCCTCCCCGCTGACCAGTGTGTCCGTCCTCCCCGCTGACCTGTGTGTCCGTCCTCCAAGCTGACCAGTGTGCCCGTCCTCCCCGCTGACCAGTGTGTCCATCCTCCCTGCTGACCAGTGTGTCCATCCTCCCTGCTGACCAGTGTGCCCGTCCTCCCTGCTGACCAGTGTGTCCATCCTCCCTGCTGACCAGTGTGTCCGTCCTCCCCACTGACCAGTGTGTCCGTCCTCCCTGCTGACCAGTATGTCCATCCTCCCCACTGACCTGTGTGTCCATCCTAACTGCTGACCAGTGTGTCCATCCTCCCCGCTGACCAGTGTGTCCGTCCTCCCCGCTGACCAGTGTGCCCGTCCTCCCCGCTGACCAGTGTGTCCGTCCTCCCCGCTGACCAGTGTGTCCATCCTCCCCGCTGACCAGTGCGTCCATCCTCCCCGCTGACCAGTGTGCCCGTCCTCCCCGCTGACCAGTGTGTCCATCCTCCCTGCTAACCAGTGTGTCCGTCCTCCAAGCTGACCAGTATGTCCATCCTCCCCGCTGACCAGTATGTCCATCCTCCTCGCTGACCAGTATGTCCATCCTCCCCGCTGACCTGTGTGTCCATCCTCCCCGCTGACCAGTGCATCCATCCTCCCCGCTGACCAGTGCATCCATCCTTCCCGCTGACCAGTATGTCCATCCTCCCCGCTGACCTGTGTGTCCATCCTCTCCGCTGACCAGTGTCCATCCTCCCCGCTGACCAGTGTGTCCATCCTCCCTGCTGACCAGTGTGTCCATCCTCCCCGCTGACCAGTGTGTCCATCCTCCCCGCTGACCAGTGTGTCCGTCCTCCCCGCTGACCAGTGTGTCCATCCTCCCCGCTGACCAGTATGTCCATCCTCCCCACTGACCAGTGTGCCCGTCCTCCCCGCTGACCAGTGTGTCCATCCTCCCCACTGACCAGTGTGTCCATCCTCCCCGCTGACCAGTGCGTCCATCCTCCCCACTGACCAGTGTGACCATCCTCCCCACTGACCAGTGTGTCCATCCTCCCCGCTGACCAGTGTGTCCATCCTCCCCGCTGACCAGTATGTCCATCCTCCCCACTGACCTGTGTGTCCATCCTCCCCACTGACCAGTGTGTCCATCCTCCCCACTGTCCAGTGTGTCCATCCTCCCCGCTGACCAGTGTGTCCATCCTCCCCGCTGACCGGTGTGTCCATCCTCCCTGCTGACTGGTGTGTCCGTCCTCCTAGCCGACCAGTGTGTCCATCCTCCCAGCTGACTGGTGTCCATCCTCCTAGCTGACCAGTGTGTCCATCCTCCCAGCTGACTGGTGTCCATCCTTCCCGCTGACCAGTGTGTCCATCCTCCCAGCTGACTGGTGTCCATCCTCCCTGCTGACCAGTGTGTCCATCCTTCCCGCTGACCAGTGTGTCCATCCTCCCAGCTGACTGGTGTCCATCCTCCTAGCCGACCAGTGTGTCCATCCTCCCAGCTGACTGGTGTCCATCCTCCTAGCCGACCAGTGTGTCTGTCCTCTCAGCTGTCGGGGCATCTGGGCTGTGTCCAGCTTGCCCTGGGGTTGGTGGACCCAGCTTCCTGGTGGGGCCTGGTGCTGAGGCAGGGGCTCTGCCCAGACAGCTGGCGTTCGGCACCTCCTCCCAAGTGGGACCCCAGCTCCTCCACGCCCCACGCTGGCCAGCCTCCACTTATGATGGCCCTCGCAGGTGTGAGATGACCTCTGCTGGTGGCTTGGTGTCCATTTCCATAATGGACAGTGGTGCCAGGCCCCTTCCTGTATGTCTGTGCCCGTCTGCTTTAGTGAAGTGTCCAGATCTTTGGCTGTTTTTCTAACGGGCTGTGTTTTCCTGTTGTTGGGTTTCAAGAGTTCTTGATGTATTCTGGCGTGAATCCTTTATCGGACTGCGCTTCACACGTTTCTCAGTCCTCTTGCTCCAGACGTGGTCCCACTGCCCAGCCCGGCTGGCCTGTCATGAGATCACCATGCATCTGCCTCCTCCACCAGGCCCAGCCTCCTTGTTTCCCTAACCATAGCTTTAGAAAAGCAGCATTTAGCTCTGAAATTCACCACCAACTCACTTCACTAATCTCAAGTTTGATGTCTAAGACTAGTGCCCAGCCCAGAGTCACTAACCTTCGGTCCTGCACTCCCTAGTTTTTACCTACAGGATTTGCATTCAGGTCTGTGATCCATTCTGATTCATTGACTTTACTGTTAAATCTTATTTTATTTTTGCTGCTGGGTGCCAGTGGCTCATGCCTGTAATCCTAGCTACTCAGAAGGCTGAGATCTGAGGATCAGGACTCAAGCCAACCCCAGAAGGAAAGCCCATGAGACACTGATTTCCAATACCCAAAGGCCAGAAGCAGTAGAGGGGTAGAGGGCTAGCCTTGAGCATGAAGCATGAGACAGTGCCCAGGCCCTGAGTTCAAGCCCCAACATGTTAAAATTATTGTTACTATTGTTGCTGCTGCTGCTGCTGTTATTTTGCTACAGAGGCCAGTTTTTCCTTGCTGCGTATCAGAAAGGCCTCCTTTCTTTGGTTGAGCTGCCTTGTGCCTGTGAAGGTTACTCGTGCATACTGTATCTCTTCCTGGGCTGTTTTCTCTCCTGTGGCTCTGCTAGCTGCATGGCAATGTCACTGACTGCTGTCCTGCACATTTACTACAACCAGGGACTGGGCAGTCTCTTCCTCCAGAACTGTTCTTGGGTGCCCAGGCCCTGTGCACGTTCATGGAGAAAGCAGAAGAGCAGAAGCCTAGTGTGAATGTGGGCGTTGACACCTGTGTGGAGTCTCCGGCCTAGAAGAGGCTTTGGTTTTTCTCAGGTGTCTGTAGCTGTGTCTGTGCAGTTTTGCAGGCAGGGCTTTGAAATGCACCACCACTCAGGCCTTCTCAGGAGGAGCCTGCTGCCCTCTGCTGGCGGATGCGGCTTGGATGGGGTTGGCCGAGGTGCTGCTGAGCAGGGCAGGGCTGGTGGTAGTGGGCTGTCCAGCCCAGCTGTGTGGGGTCTGGCGGTGGTGAGCAGAGGTCGGGGCAGGGCTGGTGGTGATGGGTCCGCTGTTGGTGAGCAGGGGGTCAGGGCAGGGCCCATTGCTCTACAGTGGCCTCAAGCCAAAAGTACATTTGGATTCAGTTGTTTTTGGAAATGGAGGCAAGTGTCTCACAGAGCCGTGTGCACACCCGAGAGCCATGTGCACACGCACGTCCGTGAGCTCACGCGAGAGCCGTGTGCACACCCGAGAACCGTGCGCACACGCACGTCCGTGAGCTCACGCGAGAGCCGTGCGCACACGCACGTCCGTGAGCTCACGCGAGAGCCGTGTGCACACCCGAGAGCCGTGCGCACACGCACGTCCGTGAGCTCACGCGAGAGCCGTGTGCACACCCGAGAGCCGTGCGCACACGCACGAGCCGTGCGCTCACGCGAGAGCCGTGCGCACACGCACGTCCGTGAGCTCACGCGAGAGCCGTGCGCACACGCACGTCCGTGAGCTCACGCGAGAGCCGTGCGCACATGCACGAGCCGTGCGCTCACGCGAGAGCCATGCGCACACGCACGTCCATGAGCTCACGCGAGAGCCGTGCGCACACGCACGTCCGTGAGCTCACGCGAGAGCCGTGCGCACACGCACGAGCCATGCGCTCACGCGAGAGCCGTGCGCACACGCACGAGCCGTGCGCTCACGCGAGAGCCGTGCGCACACGCACGTCCGTGAGCTCACGCGAGAGCCGTGCGCACACGCACGTCCGTGCGCTCACGCGAGAGCCGTGCGCACACGCACGAGCCGTGCGCTCACGCGAGAGCCGTGCGCACACGCACATCCATGAGATCTCGCGAGAGCCGTGCGCACATGCACAGCCAGGCATGTGGCCTATGTAGCCACCCCCCCCCCCCCGTTGGCTGGCACACATGTTCGGCTAAAAGTCCTCTGACCCCACCAACACGCTCCTCCCAACAGCACCCTGGAATGGGGAGCCCCACAGGTCCCCAGGGATGGTGACACCGCCCACCATGTGGTGTCCCGTCTCCTGGCGTGGGCGTGCGGGGCAGGGCAGGGCAGGAGGCATCAGGCCTCCCAACCCTACTCCTCAGCCCACGCCCCACGGCCGGGCCCTTGCAAGGAGGAGTGGCCCGTGGGCCTGCCGGGCATCTGCCCTGACCCTGAGCCCCAGATAAGCCGGGGAGGGGTCGCCCGGGTGGGTCCGCCGCACCCCGCCTCGGCTCTGAGACCTGCTCACGGCTGTCATCCTCAGCCTTGCCTTGGGTTTACAAATCTGTAAGAGACATGTTAGCTCAGAGGCTGTCTGAAAACAGGAGACAGCGGAGGGGCCGACACCGGGCCACAGCAGACAGACAGACAGCAGAGGGAGCCGATGTCGGGCCATGGCAGACAGACAGACAGACAGCAGAGGGGCCAACGCCAGGCCACGGCAGACAGACAGCGGAGGGAGCCAACTCTGGGCCACGGCAGACAGACAGACAGACAGCAGAGGGAGCTGATGCCGGGCCACGGCAGGGCTTGCTCAGCCCAGGAGCACGTGGAAGGAGATAGAACTGAAGCCGTGTGTGACCCTGGGGCAGGAGTCCCCAGGGAAGCCATGGGGACACCTGGCATGGCCGTGGGCGGGGCCCCGTGCTGGTGTCCCTGGGTGTGGCTTTGAGAAGAGGTGGGGTGCACAGGGAGGAGGTCCTTCAGAGGGGAGCGGGGAGGGGGAGAGCCACGAGGTGTGGGATCGGTGCTGGGCCACAGCCACATCTGGGGTTCGTTCAGCCTGGGGTTTCTGTCCGTGTTCAGTGTTCAGATTATGTACTGGAAAGGGAAAAGAAGGCATCCTGATCACTCAAGTTCTGTTAAACCCATGAAGAATCTTCTGGAAGGTTTCTGCAGCGCTGGCTTGCTAAGGATAACCACAGGGCTGTGTATTAACTTTAAATCTTCTCCACACCTGCCCTGGCCACTGCAGTCACTGCCCCTGCCCAGGGCACTTGGTGGGGACAGCCTGGGACAGGACAGCACACCCAGAGCAGAGCCTGGGTCACTCGGTGACAAGGACCCTTCTGTTTGAACAGCTCCAACCCTTCCTGACTCAGAATCAGCTGGGGTGTGGGACAGAGGCGTCCAGAGCCCTGAAGGCGGCCTGGAGACGGTGAGACCTCTCCCCAGCCCCCTCCCCCACCCCCAGCCCACCCTGCCCCCCACCCCACTCAGCAAAGCCCCTCAGGCCCTGTCCCCTCCCTGTGCCTGCCAGTCCCTGTGCGTGTCCTCTGCGTGTCCACCCTGCCAGTCCCTGTGCGTGTCCTCTGCGTGTCCACCCTGCCAGTCCCTGTGCGTGTCCTCTGTGCGTCCACCCTGCCTGTCCCTCTGTGTGTCCTCTGCGTGTCCTCTGCATGTCCGCCCCGCCTGTCCCTCGGGGTCAGTGCAGGCAGCAGATGGAGGGTCACCGCAGCATGTCCTCATTCCCTCCCCCAGGGAGTCCTGAGCAGGCAGGAGGAGGAGTCTGGTGTTCCGGGCCCCGGCCCAGTGGTGCAGGGCTCTGACCTTCAACCTGTCCCTGTGGCACAAGGACCCCCGGGCCCCCCAGGACTCCCAGGGAAGGATGGCTCCCCAGGACAGGATGGCAAGCCCGTGAGTACCCTGGTTCCCAAGGCAGTCTGGTCCAGTCCGGTCCAGTCTGGTGCTGGGGGCCATGGCAGGAGGGGGGGTGCACTGTGTGTCCCCGTTCTCAGACCCAGAGGCCAGCACCGGCCCTCCACCTGGGTGCGGAGCTGGGAGGGCTGGAATGGAGATGCAGCCCTCTGTGTGGGCTCTGGGGCTTGGGGGCCAGGGTGGGCTGGTCCCCTCTCGGGTGGTCACGGCTAGTCCTCTGCTCTAACGATTTCTCTTACACATTCCAGGGCGACCCTGGGGAAGACGGAAAGCCTGTAAGTTTGCTTTTCCTTCTGGGCTGGGCTTGTGTTTACTAGGACCACGGGCCCAGCCCCTGGCCAGTGCAGCCCCTCCACTAAGAAACTCAAGTCTGATGGCTAGGGGGGCGGCTGTGGCTGCACCGGGAGGGTCAGGCGAAGTGCCTGACACACCCTGGGGGGAGGGGAGCAGCCAGCGGGAAGCTGGAAGGTCCAGGCGTGCAGGGTAGACAGGGCTCCCACGCTGGCCACAGTGCCCGCCTGGGGCGATGGGACTTGGAGACAGAGCTGCCCACAAGACAGCATCGAGAGTTCACCAGAGCGCAGTCACTACGCAAGTCCACGTGTGTGCGCCATGAGTGTATCCACGTACAGACACGCTTGAGCCGTAGGCACACACATGCACACACAGGCAGAGCAGCGCTGTCTGCAGAGGGTCGTGTCATAGCTGAGCTCTGGTGGGGCAGCACACGGGAGCCCTGGGCACGGTTACGGGGACTCGGAGCCTCCACGGCTGCGTGGCATCTTTCGCGCCAGGCCCTGTGGCCGCAGGTCACCTGCCAGCCAGACCCCTTACAGCCTTCTCCCTGTGCCTGCACTGGGAGACCCAGGCTGGGCTGTACCAGGAGAGAGGGGTGCTTCTCCCAGCCTAGCCCGTTCTTGTCCTCCAGGGGGATGCGGGGCCACAGGGCTTCCCGGGGACCCCAGGAGATGTCGGCCCCAAGGGTGAGAAGGTGAGTGTGGCTGGCGGTGGGAGGGCCGCGCAGGCCCAGGCAGGCAGCGTGCGCCCGCGTGACAGGGCCGTCTGTCGCAGGGAGACCCCGGCGTTGGGCCAAGAGGACCTCCCGGACCCCGAGGACCTCCTGGGCCTCCGGGACCCCCCTTCAGACAGGACAAGCTGGTGAGTCCACCTGCCCCCCCGTTCTGGGACAGACCCCGGGGGGCTTTGGGCCTGGGGGGCCCCTCACCCAGCATCCTTCAGCCCATCCGGGGACACAGGGAGCCCTGCCCCGTGCCTTTACTCTTGTGAGCGCCGAGCACGTGGGGCAGGAGTCGGGGCCCAGCTGGCAGAGCGCCTGGCACTCGGGGACAGCCAGCGTGCTCCTCATAACCCCATCTCCCTCCTTAGACGTTCATCGACATGGAGGGCTCCGGCTTCAGTGGGGATCTGGAGCCGCTCAGGGTAAGTGGCCACGGCTGCACCCCGGGGCGCGTGAGGCCTTGGGGGAGGTGCGAAGTGGGCGGGAGGAGGGTCAGTACTGTGTCTCTGTGTCCAGGGTCCCCGAGGCTTCCCAGGTCCTCCAGGACCCCCCGGCGTCCCGGGCCTGCCAGGAGAGCCAGGCCGCTTTGGAGTCAACAGCTCACACGTGCCAGGACCAGCTGGCCTTCCTGGCGTGCCTGGGAGGGATGGGCGCCCCGGGCCCCCCGGCGTCCAGGTGAGTCCTGACCCGGGGCCCTGTGCTGGGCGTGGGGTGAGCACGGGGTACTGTGCTGGGCGTGGGGTGAGCACGGGGTGCTGTGCTGGGTGTGGGGTGAGCACGGGGTGCTGTGCTGGGTGTGGGGTGAGCACGGGGTCCTGTGCTGGGTGTGGGGTGATCACGGGGTGCTGTGCTGGGTGTGGGGTGAGCACGGGGTGCTGTGCTGGGCGTGGGGTGATCACGGGGTGCTGTGCTGGGCGTGGGGTGAGCACGGGGTGCTGTGCTGGGCGTGGGGTGAGCACGGGGTGCTGTGCTGGGCGTGGGGTGAGCACGGGGTGCTGTGCTGGGTGTGGGGTGATCACGGGGTGCTGTGCTGGGCGTGGGGTGAGCACGGGGTGCTGTGCTGGGCGTGGGGTGAGCACGGGGTGCTGTGCTGGGCGTGGGGTGAGCACGGGGTGCTGTGCTGGGTGTGGGGTGATCACCATGGGGTGCTGTGCTGGGCGTGGGGTGAGCACGGGGTGCTGTGCTGGGCGTGGGGTGATCATGGGGTGCTGTGCTGGGCGTGGGGTGAGCACGGGGTGCTGTGCTGGGTGTGGGGTGAGCACGGGGTGCTGTGCTGGGCGTGGGGTGAGCACGGGGTGCTGTGCTGGGCGTGGGGTGAGCACGGGGTGCTGTGCTGGGTGTGGGGTGAGCACGGGGTGCTGTGCTGGGTGTGGGGTGATCACGGGGTGCTGTGCTGGGCGTGGGGTGAGCACGGGGTGCTGTGCTGGGCGTGGGGTGAGCACGGGGTGCTGTGCTGGGCGTGGGGTGAGCACGGGGTGCTGTGCTGGGTGTGGGGTGATCACCATGGGGTGCTGTGCTGGGCGTGGGGTGAGCACGGGGTGCTGTGCTGGGCGTGGGGTGATCATGGGGTGCTGTGCTGGGCGTGGGGTGAGCACGGGGTGCTGTGCTGGGTGTGGGGTGAGCATGGGGTGCTGTGCTGGGCGTGGGGTGAGCACGGGGTGCTGTGCTGGGCGTGGGGTGAGCACGGGGTGCTGTGCTGGGCGTGGGGTGAGCACGGGGTGCTGTGCTGGGTGTGGGGTGAGCACGGGGTGCTGTGCTGGGTGTGGGGTGAGCACGGGGTGCTGTGCTGGGTGTGGGGTGAGCACGGGGTGCTGTGCTGGGTGTGGGGTGAGCACCATGGGGTCCTGTGCTGGGTGTGGGGTGAGCACGGGGTGCTGTGCTGGGTGTGGGGTGATCACGGGGTCCTGTGCTGGGCGTGGGGTGAGCACGGGGTCCTGTGCTGGGCGTGGGGTGAGCCTCCCCCTTTGACACCCACTTCCGAGTGTGGCGTCCTGCAGCTGCTCGTGCGCCAGGCCGGGCACTAGGCAGCGGTGAGGTATCCACCTTGCCCACCACAGTCTGACCGGCAACTCGGAAAGCAACAGAACGCACCCTGAACGTGGCACCCAGGCTGCAGGGGCCCGGGAGCCTGGGCCTCCTGGTGTCTGGGGAGCTCCATGTCCCCTCACGGGGAGTGAGCATGCCCGCCGCGGCCTGCTCCCCATGGGTCTGTGCGGCGGCCAGGCCCCCTCCAGGCCTCACCCCACGCTCCTCTCCCCAGGGTCCCCCGGGGCCTCCCGGAAGGGAGGGGCCCCCCGGAGCAGCAGGCCAGAAGGGCAGCATCGTAAGTTGTCTCCTGCACGTGAGGGTCATCTGATGTGGGGGGCGTGGCCGGGGGGGCCACTCAGAAGTAACTACACACCCCACCAGGGCAGCGGGCCGTGGCCCCGGGGAGGGGACAGAGGGGACCCCATGGTGGCCTGAGTTGTTGCCTCTCCCTCTCCCCGCAGGGTGACGTCGGCGCCCCAGGACCTAAGGTACAAGTCAGCAGCTGTTCTGGAAGAGCCGGGGCACACACCTTGGCCCTGGCTGTGACCGGGTTCGAGCTGTCAGTGCGCGTCACGGGGGCAGGGCAGTCTGGGCCTCCTGTGCCCTCACCGAGCGCTCGCGCGCGCGTGCACAGGCTGCTCTGACTCGAAAGATTCCAGCAGCGGCATGGCAGTTTGGACCGGAGAAGTCTCCCGGGGGCTCCATAGAAAGGGCGGGGCTCTCCAGAGCCGCCAGGGCCCAACTCTGGCCCCAGCCCCAACCCCGGCCTCGGCCCTGGCCCCGGTGGCTCCCAGCTAGGAGCGCCCCCATCCTGGCCCTGCCCACCCACAAGGGAGCAAGGCCGTGACACAGACCGAAGCCAGGAAAGCAGAGGCTCCCTGGAGGCCCGTGCTTGTCAGAAGCCACCGCCCAACCACGGTTCTGCCTGCCCTGTCCTAGCCGGGCAGCTGGCACACTGACATCCTTGTCTGGGCCAGAACTCGACCCTGGCTTCCCCACCCAGCCACACGCCGTACCCCAACCCAGGAAGAAACCATGGTTGTGTCCGCTTTAGTGAGGAAACCAAGGCGTGCAGCGGCCGTGAGCAGTCTCTGGCCCCTCACCAGCCCCTGTCCCCTCGCTCTGGTCCAGGGACCCCAGCAGGTCTGTGCGCCTCAGACCTCACCTGGCCCGTTTTCAGTGGGTGAAATTGTCTTGTGAAGTCAGGAGAGCACGTGTTGGGCATGCCTGGTTCTGTGGAACGTGGCTTTCCTGAGTTTCCAGACTTTGGGGGTGCATCATAAGGAAATGCGTCTGCTGGGGACACGCACAGCCCTGTTTGCAGCGGTGATGCCGTCTCTCTACCCTGCAGGGAAGCAAGGGAGACCCCGGCCCCATGGGTGCACCTGGAGAGAGTGGCTCAGCCGGGTCCCCGGGGACACCGGGACCTCGAGGACCTCCGGGCCCCCCCGGGCCCCCGGGACCAGGAGTGCCTGCTGGATTTGTGCGTCTGCTCCGTTCCCCCCCCCCCCCCCGCCCGGGCCCCTCCCAGGCTGAGCGCCCCTCCCCGGGTGGCCACCCCTGTGGGTGCTTCCTGTCCCCCTGGCACGCCCCCCTCCTGAGAGCCCTGAGCAGCTGGCTGGCCGGTCAGGTGCTGGCATGGCCTCGGGGGCAGAGAAGGGGTTTTACGCCCTGTTGCCTGTCGCCGTGTCTGCAGCTGGGCACCCAGCCCCCCGCTCCAGGCGCTGGCACTGCTGCATGCACACGCCCAGGTGCATGATCAATCCCCACAGACGGCCCGTCTAGAGACGGCTGCAGCCCTTTCCCCGCGTGCCCGGGGCCTGGAAGCACTTCCTTTAATAGGGGCTGAGACCAGGCATCCTTCCCGTGTCTCCTCCAGGATGACATGGAGGCGTCTGGGATGCTGCTCTGGTCCACCGCTCGAGGTGCCGCTGGCCCACAGGTACTGCCCACCTCGGGGGGTGGGATGGGCCGTGGAGTCCCCAGGGCAGGGACGCCTCCCTGGAAAGTCACCGAGTCCGGAAGTTCAGGGTGAGAAGCTGGTCCCCGGAGCCGGTCTGTGGGCAGCAAGCACCGGTCAGCGGGGCCCACAGACGCGTGACCCCATCTGTGGCTCTAATTTTGACAAGTTGTGAATATTTGGCCTGAGTAGGGTTCGAGCCTATGGATGCCCCCCACTTTTCTTCCAGGCATCTGGGTCCTAGTCAGATCTCGGGGTTTGATGAGATAGATGTACAGCACCTAGGACCAGAGCCCAGTGCCCTCCTCTGCTGGGCTCCCCTGAGCAGAGCCCCTGCTGCCAGCCCTGCAGGGTGGCCGGCCATAAACCCGCATCCGCCTGGCTTCTCAGATCTACCTGCTGAGAGCACCACACAGTTCTTACCCAGAGAGAAGCCCATGAGGGATCGTGGCTGGCCAAAAGCAAGTGCTGTGGCCAGCTAGAATGGCTTTACTGCTGTTGTAACTTAGTGCTTTTCTTTCTCTTTCCCATCTTTCCATTTTCCCCCTCCCTCCCTCCCTTCTTCCCTCCCTTCTTCCCTCCCTTCTTCCCTCCTTTCTTCCCTCCCTCCCTCCCTATTTTCAAGGCAGCCTCCCTGTGTAGCCCAGTTGGCCTTGTGCTGGGGACCTTACCTCTGCCCCTTTGGTGCAGCTGGACTCTAGGTGTGCCCCATGCCCCCAAGGGTGGGGCATGCATTGTCGCCAGCCTCAGGCCTGCCGGGCGCTGCCGGGCCACCCTGGCAGCTGTCACAATCCATCTCCTGTTTAGAATGACGGAACGTGGGTTTATGTGGGTGACAGACAGCAGGACGGGCTTGTGGGGGATCCCGTGCACCCCAGGCCCGCCCTTGCTGGTGAGCCTTTGTGGGGTGTGTTGGCTCCTTGACCGAGAGCCAGATTTTCTCTGGAGTCAGAGCTGGCACGCAAAGGTGGGCCCATTCCCTGTGGATAGAGCGTCTCGCGCAGGGCTGGCTGCTCTAATGCTGTGTCTCCTCTGCCCACAGGGCCTGCCTGGTGTGCCAGGACTCCCGGTGAGTGGGGCGGCCTTGGGGCTGTGGGTTTCCGGTCAGGGTTTGTGGGAGTTCCTGCAGAGCACAGCAGAAGCCTAATGGGAAATGGCCATGGCTCCCGTGGATCCACCTTTCCAGAGCCTTGGGCGCTGATGGCTGCATTCAGCCCGTGTGTTGGCATGTGGAGGAGCAGCAAGGCTGCATGCCTCACAGAGCTGCCTCCAGCTTGTGCCCGGAGTCCCCGCCTTCCTCAGGCCGGTGTCAGGCTCCCCGGGAAGGGACAGGCCACACCAGGAGTGCGGCCTGCACGCGCCCCGTGGGCACCACCCTCTCCAGCCGGAGCTGGCTTCAAGGGCAGCTGTAGTTTGTCACGGAGACATTTCAGAGGCCTTTGGGCCCCGCCCAGCCGCCCGGTGTCCCGGGACGGGGCAGCTCCGGGCTGGGGGAGGTGGAGCCCTCGCTCACTGAGCCCTCTGTCCGTCTAGGGGGATCCAGGAGCGATGGGGCCTCCAGGAGCTAAGGTAAGCACTTGGCTCAGATGTGGGCAGCAGGACCAAGGCCAGAGCCCATCCCCACTGCCCTCAGGGTGCGGTCGCTGGGTCCCCTCAGAAGCCACAGACCTGGAGGGGAAGGCTCCGGGTGAGCCTCCACGCCCCGCCCACACCTCCCCGCTTCCTCCTGCTTCCTTGGCCTGCCTGTGCTTCATAATTCACTACAGGCCTGTCTGAAGGTGACCCCCGAGACACCTCCTCCAGACCCCCTTTCCCTGGCATTCTCCAGGCTCTTCTAGTGGTGGTGGAGAGGGACAAGGCCTCCCTGCCCCGCTCTGCCCTCAGAATGCCCACGGCTCTGTGGCCACGCCCTCCAGCTCTGACAGGGGGGAGTGAGCTGGACCAGCAGACGCTCTGCGGTCACCTCCCACACTGGGGAAGGGTCTCCACAGACCCCGCCCTCCACGCTGACGTGCTGGACCCACTCTGTTCCAGGGAGAAGCTGGGGTGGATGGAGCCCGAGGATTCCCTGGCCTTCCTGGCAGAGAGGGCTCAGCAGGGCCCCTGGTGAGTGGCTGCAGGGGGGGGGGGGGCCGGGCACTGGGCGGGCATCGTGAGGAGCCCTCCTCCAGGCCTCTGGGCACCTGAATCCCCTCCAGTTGCTCTGTGACCCAAGAAGCCAAGTGGGAGAGCCATCCGGGGTTTGACACCTTCCCAGCCCCGTGGCCGGGAGCCAAGGACTCCGTGTCTTTATCCCAAGCCCGCCGGGCAGTGTGGTGCCGAACGGCCTCCTGCTTCCCTTGGCAATGAACCATGTCCTTCCTTCTCTGCAGGGACCAAAAGGGGACAAAGGGAGCCAGGGAGACAAGGTGAGTGGGACCCCAGCTGATGGGCCTGAGGGAGGGGCTGGGCCCGGGGGGGGGGGGGCCGGGGCGCTCTCCACGCTGTGCCCGCAGGGCTGGGGCTGGGGTGCTCTCCACGCTGTGCCCGCGGGGCGGGGGCGCTCTCCACGCTGCGCCCGGGGGGGCTGGGGCGCTCTCCATGCTGCGCCCGGGGGGGCTGGGGCGCTCTCCACGCTGCGCCCGGGGGGGCCGGGGTGCTCTCCACACTGCGCTGGGGGGGGGCCGGGGCGCTCTCCACACTGCGCTGTGGGGGGGGCTGGGGCGCTCTCCACACTGCGCTGTGGGGGGGGCTGGGGCGCTCTCCACGCTGCGCCCGGGGGGCGGGGCGCTCTCCACACTGCGCTGGGGGGGGGCCGGGGCGCTCTCCACGCTGCGCCCGGGGGGCGGGGCGCTCTCCACACTGCGCCCCGGGGGGGCTGGGGTGCTCTCCACGCTGCGCCCGGGGGGGGGGCTGGGGTGCTCTCCACACTGCGCTGGGGGGGGCCGGGGCACTCTCCACACTGCGCTGGGGGGGGGGCTGGGGCGCTCTCCACGCTGCGCCCAGGGGGGCCGGGGCGCTCTCCACACTGCGCTGGGGGGGGCCGGGGCGCTCTCCACACTGCGCTGGGGGGGGGGGCCGGGGCGCTCTCCACACTGCGCTGGGGGGGGGGCTGGGGTGCTCTCCACGCTGCGCCCGGGGGGGCTGGGGTGCTCTCCACACTGCGCTGGGGGGGGCTGGGGTGCTCTCCACACTGCGCTGGGGGGAGCTGGGGTGCTCTCCACGCTGCGCCCGGGGGGGCTGGGGTGCTCTCCACGCTGCGCTGGGGGGGGCCGGGGTGCTCTCCACGCTGCGCTGGGGGGGGCTGGGGTGCTCTCCACGCTGCGCTGGGGGGGGGCCGGGGCGCTCTCCACGCTGCGCCCGGGGGGGCTGGGGTGCTCTCCACACTGCGCTGGGGGGGGCTGGGGCGCTCTCCACACTGCGCTGGGGGGGGCTGGGGCGCTCTCCACACTGCGCTGGGGGGGGCCGGGGCGCTCTCCACGCTGCGCCCGGGGGGGCTGGGGTGCTCTCCACACTGCGCTGGGAGGGGCCGGGGCGCTCTCCACACTGCGCTGGGGGGGGCCGGGGTGCTCTCCACACTGCGCTGGGGGGGGGGGGCCGGGGCGCTCTCCACGCTGCGCTGGGGGGGGGGCAGGGGCGCTCTCCACACTGCGCTGGGGGGGGGGGCTGGGGTGCTCTCCACACTGTGCTGGGGGGGGCTGGGGCGCTCTCCACACTGTGCTGGGGGGGGGCTGGGGTGCTCTCCACGCTGCGCTGGGGGGGGGCCGGGGCGCTCTCCACACTGCGCTGGGGGGGGGGGCTGGGGTGCTCTCCACGCTGCGCTGGGGGGGGCCAGGGTGCTCTCCACACTGCGCTGGGGGGGGGCTGGGGTGCTCTCCACGCTGCGCTGGGGGGGGGCTGGGGCGCTCTCCACACTGCGCTGGGGGGGGCCGGGGCGCTCTCCACGCTGCGCCCGGGGGGGGGCTGGGGTGCTCTCCACGCTGCGCCCGGGGGGGCTGGGGTGCTCTCCATGCTGCGCTGGGGGGGGCTGGGGCGCTCTCCACACTGCGCTGGGGGGGGGGCTGGGGTGCTCTCCACGCTGCCCCCGGGGGGGCTGGGGTGCTCTCCACACTGCGCTGGGGGGGGGGGCTGGGGCGCTCTCCACACTGCGCTGGGGGGGGCTGGGGCTGGGGTGCTCTCCACACTGCTCCCGGGGGGCTGGGGCGCTCTCCACGCTGCGCCGGGGGGGGGTACTGGGGTGCTCTCCACACTGCGCTGGGGGGGGCTGGGGTGCTCTCCACGCTGCGCTGGGGGGGGCTGGGGTGCTCTCCATGCTGCGCTGGGGGGGGCTGGGGTGCTCTCCACACTGCGCTGGGGGGGGCTGGGGTGCTCTCCACACTGCGCTGGGGGGGGCTGGGGTGCTCTCCACACTGCGCTGGGGGGGGGGGGGCTGGGGCGCTCTCCACGCTGCTCCCAGGGGGCTGGGGTGCTCTCCACGCTGCGCCCGGGGGTCCGGGGTGCTCTCCACGCTGCGCCCGGGGGTCCGGGGTGCTCTCCACGCTGCGCCCGGGGGTCCGGGGTGCTCTCCACGCTGCGCCCGGGGGGCTGGGGCGCTCTCCACGCTGCGCCGGGGGGGGGGGGGCCGGGGCGCTCTCCACGCTGCGCCCGGGGGGGCCGGGGCGCTCTCCACGCTGCGCCCGGGGGTCCGGGGCGCTCTCCACGCTGCGCCCGGGGGGCCGGGGCTGGGGTGCTCTCCACGCTGCGCCCGGGGGGCCGGGGCGCTCTCCACGCTGCGCCGGGGGGGGCCGGGGCGCTCTCCAGGCTACGCCCGGGGGGGCCGGGGCTGGGGCACTCTCCACGCTGCGCCCGCGGGACTGGGGCACTCTCCACGCTGCGCCCGGGGGGGCCGGGGCTGGGGTGCTCTCCACGCTGCGCCCGCGGGACTGGGGCTGGGGTGCTCTCCACGCTGTGTCCGCGGGGGGGGGGGGCTGGGGTGCTCTCCACGCTGCGCCCGGGGGGCTGGCTGGGGCTGGGGTGCTCTCCACGCTGCGCCCGGGGGGGGGGCGCTCTCCACGCTGCGCCCGGGGGGGTCCGGGGCCGGGGTGCTCTCCAGGCTGCACGGCACGGTAAACACCCTCAAGTCAACGGGGCTCCTGAAGCTGGGGCACGGCACCTGAGGCCGGGTGGCTTCCAGGGAAGGCGCCTGGGCCTGGTCCATGGCCCCTTTGCAGTACGTCCGTGGAGTAGGGGAGCCCCTTGGTGGCTTGGGGGCCCAGTCCCGGATGGTGCAGTGGAGGGGTGGACACTGTGTTCTCTTCCAGGGCGATCCAGGGAAGGACGGAATCGGGCAGCCAGGCCTTCCTGGACCCCCAGGACCCCCGGGGCCTGTGGTCTATGTGTCGGATCAGGACGTAAGGACCTTGGAGCGCGTCCCTCTGCCCTCATGGGAACCGGGCGGGGGCTGAAGGCGCCCCTGTCCTGAGCCCTTCAGGCCCTGGGCTGTCGTGAGCACCAGTACTTTCTATGGTGCCAGTGTCAGCAAATCCGTGGAGATGGGCCCTGCCAGCCCTGCCTCCAAACCCAGCCCCAGGGCCGCCTAGCACCCCCGCCCCCTCTCCCCCGTGTGCACGCATGCGTGCATGTACGCGTGCACACATACACACACACAGTGGCCATGGGGACACAGCGCCTTGGGACACAGTCTGGGCCCAAGTAGCTGATTGGCCGGCTGGTGGTGTGTGTGGCCGTCCCATGGTTAGATCCCTGCTGCCCTGGGCTCTGGGAAGGGCGGCCTGTGCAGGCCAGAGTGGGGATGGGGCTCGAATCCCAGCCCCTGCTGTCCACTATGGGTCTTGAGCACATCAGCCTCTCTGCTCTGTCTGGGATTCAGGACAGGGAGCATGAGTTTGGGAAGAAGTGTAAGAATGGTCCCAGGCCTGGCTGCCAGGTTCCTAGGCACGGGCTGACTTTCACACAGGCAAGAGGGATGCGGGGGAGGCCCAGGAGAATGGAGCTGCTGGCAGGGGTCAAGGCCCAGAGGAGCACCGGGCACCACTAGCGGGTGGCCACGGGTTGGAGGGCGCTGTCAGAGAAAGGCCCCGGGGCAGGGCTCCCCTCAGGTCCGGCAGGGCCTGAGAAGTTGGTCTGCAGTGCTGAACGTCATCTTCTGCCTCCGGGACTCGAGAGTGGCACTGGCCCAGGTCCTAGTGCTGCTCAGGGAGGGGCTACTGCTCAGGCTGGGCCCCACGGGCAGAGCCCCAGGGGCAGAGGACCCCAGAGGTGAGGGACCCAGGGGGCAGCCTCATGGCAAAAATAGGGCCGTAGTAATAGTTTTCCTCCCCACTTTGGAGTGCTCTGCTGGTCGTATACCAGCCACACAGCAGGAGCTGATTTAACTTTGAAGGGAGTTCTTCTTTCCTTGCTTCTCTTCTGATTTTTGTTTTCTGTTGGCTTAGGGGCAGCCAGTAGTGGCAGGTGTGGCAGGACCTGAGGTACGTGAGGCCTGTGTCTGAGAAGATCAGCCGTGGGCCTGGGCAGTGGCCGTGGCCTGGGCGGTGGCCGTGGCCTGGGCGGTGGCCGTGGCCTGGGCAGTGGCCGTGGCCTACGTGGTGGCCGTGGGCCTGGGTGATGGCCGTGGCCTGTGCTGTGGCCGTGGGCCTGGGTGATGGCCGTGGCCTGTGCTGTGGCTGTGAGCCTGGGTGTTAGCCGTGGCCTGGGCAGTGGCCGTGGCCTGGGCGGTGGCCGTGGCCTGGGCGGTGGCCGTGGCCTACGTGGTGGCCGTGACCTGGGCGATGGCCGTGGGCCTGGGTGGTGGCCGTGGCCTGGGCGATGGCTGTGGGCCTGCGCAGTTGCTGTGGCCAGTGGTGGCTGGTTCAATGTATCCAGTGTCCCCCGAGCCTGGTGTTCCCTGCACTAATGCTCCCCCTCCCTCCGCAGGGCAGAACTGGGCACGCAGGCTTGAGGGTGAGTGACCGCAAGCTTGCCCTGCACCAGCTGTGCGTCGGGGTCTCCTTGTACACTTGGACCCCCCTGGGAGCCAGAGGTCCTTGTTAGGGCTGAGGTTGGGGTGGGGTCGGGCACCGTCCCTGAGGTGAGGGGCTGGCACACCGCCAGGAGCAGCCCCGGGACAGGGCACGGGCCAGACATCCTCACTCCTGCTTGGTCTCCACTCCAGGGACCCACTGGACCCAAGGGTGACCTGGGCTCCAAAGGCGAGCAGGGCCTCCCGGGCCCCAAGGTGAGAAGCTGCTATGGTGTCCACCGAGCGGGGCTGTCTGTCTGTCTGAGGCCAAAGCCTTGCCTCTGTTCCTGCTTCAGGGCTGTCTGTCTGTCTGTCTGAGGCCCTGGGGAGGGGGAGCCGTGCTGCCTTCAGCTGCAGCCATGTGGGAGCCTGGCCTGACCCCCTGCCCTGCCCTTCCAGGGGGAGAAGGGGGAGCCGGGTGGCTTCTACGGCGCGGATGGCAGAGCCCTGGGCCCTGCCCAGAAAGGAGCCAAGGTGAGGCGCGTCTCCTTCTGGGTGGGCTTGGGGCGTCGGGGTTTCTGGTGACAGCACTACATGGTTGGCTTCCCGGAAGAGGGGCTCAGATGTCAGAGCCAGGCGTTGCAGGCCCAGCGCCCCAGGGCCCCACCGGCGGCCCCGGGCCTGTGCCCTGGTGCACCACAGGGGGACCGCGGGTGACAGTACCTCTGGTCTTTCATTCAGGGAGAGCCAGGCTTCCGAGGACCCCCGGTGAGTAGCCCCCTGGCCCTTTGGAGAGCACGTGGGCATGGTGGTTGGGCAGGAAGCTGTCAGCTCGCGTGGCCCAGCCTTGAGAGCTCACCTGCGGCTGGGAAGCCCGGGGAGGCCGGGAGAGGCCGCAGGGAGAGCCCCTCGTGGGTGGGGGCCGGGGTCCTGGCCTGGGGGGGGGAATCAGCCCCCCCCTGCAGCCTCAGCTCGCTCCTCTCCACAGGGTCCCTACGGGCGGCCCGGACACAAGGGCGAGATCGGCATTCCTGGAAGGCCGGTGAGGACCTGGGGCCAGTGAGGGCCGGTGAGGGCCTAGGTGCCCTGCGGGCAGCGGGCTGGCCCGAGCGGTTGGACAGGCCCAGCCACGGGGGAACGGGCCTGGGGGCCGTGGTCACTTGCCTTCACACATCCTGACCGGAGCACAGCTCTCCTCTGGGTGTGGTGGGGGTCCCCCGGCCGTGTCCAGGTTGGGGCCTGGGGCGGCGACGCTCCCCGGAGCCTGGTAGGGGAGGAATGGGGGCTCCGGCCCGCAGGAGTTAGGATGGGTGGGTGTGGGAACCCATGTCCACCGGAGCCCGGCAGTTCTTCCCGCTTTGCTGTGCTCCAGGGTCGGCCTGGGGTGAATGGATTGAAGGGCGAGAAGGGAGAGCCCGGAGACACCAGCCAGGGACTCGGCATGAGGGTAAGTGCCAGCCAGATAAGGTGACGACGGGCTGCGGCACACGGGGTACATGCAGTTATACGCGTGCATACACCACCACCCAGCCTACCAGGAACAGAGAAGCCGCCTGGTCTGGGGCCCTGCCGTGGTGACTGCGCAAAGCCTTCCCTTGCGTCTCCCAACGCCACACTGAGGCAGGCAGCCGCTGTGTCTGGGGTGGAGGCCTAGCCCCGGGTCTGGGGTGGAGGCCTAGCTCTGGCTCTGGGGTGGAGGCCTAGCCCCGGGTCTGGGGTGGAGGCCTAGCTCTGGCTCTGGGGTGGAGGCCTAGCCCTGGCTCTGGGGTGGAGGCCTAGCCCCGGGTCTGGGGTGGAGGCCTAGCTCTGGCTCTGGGGTGGAGGCCTAGCCCCGGGTCTGGGGTGGAGGCCTAGCCCTGGCTCTGGGGTGGAGGCCTAGCCCTCTCCCATTGCTGCCCTCACAAAGCAGCTGCCAAGACTCGCCCAAGCTCCTGGCCACTGCCTCCTCCAGACCACTTCCCTCCCAGCCCTCGACCTGCTCTGCCCGGGCGGGTGTACCTGCCGTGTTTCAGAACCTTGGACCGTGAGGCTGTTGGTTCTTCCTTGGGCTTCATTCCTTTTTGTGGATGAAAATTTGGCAGCATCAGCAAAACTCCAGAACCAGCTGCCAGGAGTGCAGCACGCTAGGGGACCGAGGCTGCAGCTGGTCATAGGTCACCCTTGTCAAAGAGAAGCACCGGCCTCTGGTTTTGCCCTTGGTTTGACTTTTCAAAGTCGGTGGCAAGGCTGCTTTCCTCACGAGGAGGGAGCCTCTTTACCGGTGGATGCAGGCAGGCGCGGCCCCTCCGGTGTGGCCTCCGGGAAGCTGCGTCCCCCTCCCTGGGTTGGGATGCCCGCCCCTCCTCCCTGGCCCAGGAGCTGTCCCGAGGCAGGCAGCCAGGAGGGGAGACCCCTGGCCACACTCCCCACACGGCCAGCACGGTGCTGTGTTGCTGTCCTATCACGTTCCTTCCTCAAGCAAGAAACAAACAGATCCGGCTCCCCACATGCTCACCCAGGACGCTCCTGCGCTTCCTCCCCGGAGCTTTGCCGGGGAGGCAGGAAGGTCCGGCCCGCAGTGCACAGACACGCTGACAGGGCCACTGACCCAGCTCTTCCGGAAGTGGTGTCGGGGCTCTGCCTCCGGACCCCGGCGGTGTCGGGGCTCTGCCTCCGGACCCCGGGCCAGAGCCAGCTCGCTGCTTCCGCTGGTTAAACTGGTCCTGTCTGCCCTCACTGCTCACTGGCTGTGTCGCTGGCCCGGCCACTCCCTGGGTGACATCTGCCTCTCCACAGGGAATGCCTGGGCCGCCGGGCCCTCCGGGGCCCCCAGGCCCTCCTGGGGTGCCGGTCTACGACAGCAACGTAAGTCATCTCACACCGCTCTGCGCAGCCCTGCCAGCCTCCCCAAGCTCCAAGGCCACCCCTCCCCCGGCCTCCCTCCCCACGCGCCCACCCCTCCCCCGGCCTCCGAGTCTGTCCCTGCACATCTCGGGACTTGGGCCTGTCTGGTGGCCACATCTGGCAGTGGGTAACGCGGGCTCCCTGGGGAAAGCAGGGGCGGGGAGGGCAGGGTGTGTCTGTCTCAGGGCAGCCCTAAGCTGGTCCCGAGTGTGGGACCCCAGGTCTGGGGGAAGGGGGCCCCCATTCCACCAGCTCAGCCAGGGGAGTGGCCAGAGGAGCGGCCCAGCTCCTGGCTCCAAACCCCTGTGCTCACTCCCGCTCCGACAGTCCTGAGGGGAGCGTGTCCGTGTGCCTCTGGGAGGGGCCGGGACTTGCCGGGATTCCGCACCCTGGGAGAGCGGCTGCCTCAGTTTCCACAGCCTGTCCCCGCCCTGTCCATCAGTAGTCACCTCTGGACTGTTTGTTGCAGGCATTCATGGAGGCTGGCCGCCCTGGGCCCAAAGGACTGCAAGGTGAGCCCCGGGGCTCAGCACAGGCAGCGGTCCCACAGGGGCGGGTGGCAGTGCAGGCCTTACTGAGTGGGCTGCCCCGGGCACCTGCCCCTCAGCCCCCTGGCCAGGCCTGTCAGTGCCACGCCCTCCTCCCAGCTCGGCCTCCAAGAGGGACCCTGCGGAGGCTCAGGTGGCCGAGGCCGCAGCAGAGCCAGGTGTCCACCTAGACCGGGCCCGCCTCACGTCTGGAGCGGGGCACAAACGCCTCTGCCGGGCGTCCCTCCCTCTCCAGCTGTGGCTCTGACCCCATTCACCCATGGCCGGCCCCCACAAGGCTCAGGAGTGCCGGGGAATGGAGGCCCTGCCCGACTTCCCCTGATGGCCTCTCTTCCTCTAGGGGCACAGGGGCCATCTGGGCCGAAGGGTGACAAAGGAGAAGTGGGTCCCCCGGGACCCCCAGGTGAGCGAGCCCTCCGTGCCTCCTGGCTGTGGAAGCAGCCGGGCTGATGGACAGGAAGCCAGGTCCAGGTCCCTGGCAGGGCCGGGCCCCACCTTGCCCTCCACTGGAGGGGGAAAGCCTCTTCCCGCCCCCGCGGTCCCGACAGGACCTGGATCTGGGGACTGGAGGGCTGAGGGGATGGGGCTCCAGGTAGCTCCTGCCTCCCTCCCTGTTGAAGAGCTGGAGGCTGGACCCAAGTGGGTACCATCAGGGTCCACAGGCCCCTTCCTTTTGGAAGGAGGTTTGGGTGGCATTTGGAATGTCAGAGTATTTGTACTAGGCAGGTGCCCTGCCTGAGTTGTATTCCCAGCCCACAAAAGAGCACTGAGAAGGCTCTGTTGTTAGAACGTAAGTACTGACGGGTGAGGACCAATTACTGACGTGCGTGTCGAGGGTGTGCAGGCGCGTGTGGCATAAACAAGAGGGGCCTTGGTGGGAGGCACCGGCCCCTTTCCCAGTCTCCACCACCCTCCGCAGGCCAGTTTCCCTTGGACTTCCTTCACTTGGAAGCTGAAATGAAGGTGAGCAGGGCCGCTGGTCAGGTGGGAGAGGGGCCGTCTGAGGGGCAGCCGGCGCCAGGACGCTCCCTGTGTGGCCTGTGCTGGCATGCGTCGGAGGATGGCGTGTGCCATCTTCTCTGTGTTCCTCCCCGAGCAGGCGTGTTCCTGGGGAGGGGCCCACTGGGCTGGGGAGGAAGCGGACAGGGCCCTGAAGGGTGGGCACTGGGGTCGGGAGGCCGCACAGCGCCGCCCCTTCTCCACGGACACTCACTTCCCGCAGGGGGAGAAGGGCGACCGCGGGGACGCCGGACAGAAGGGCGAGCGGGGCGAACCTGGGCCCAGCGGGGGCTTCTTCGGCTCCAGCGTGCCCGGCCCCCCCGGGCCCCCCGGCCCCCCCGGCTACCCCGGCATTCCGGTGAGCTCAGACCCCCGCCAGCTTCCAGTGTCCACACAGCTCCGGCCTGCGTGGAGCTCAGGGCCGATGCGGCCCTGGGGGGACAAGGTGGGGAGGTGTGCGGCCACCGGGTGGTCACGTGAACACAGACCTTCACGCGTGTCTGCCCTGGCACTGCCCGCCCGCTCCATACACAGCTCTGGCCCCCGGAGCACGGGTACCGCTCTCCGTGGGGTGCTGGGCAGCACCTGGGCAGCTCTTGGCTGTGGCCAGGGTCCCGGCACCTGAGGCTCAGAGACCCCTCCACACGGGGCGCCCACGCGGATGCAGCCCGGCCTGGGCTAAGAACGTGTCTTCTTGTCATAGGGTCCAAAAGGAGAGAGCATCCGGGGCCAGCCCGGCCCGCCCGGACCCCAGGGACCTCCCGGCATTGGCTACGAGGGGCGCCAGGGCCCCCCTGGGCCCCCAGGCCCTCCGGGGCCCCCCTCATTCCCCGGCCCTCACAGACAGAGTGAGTCTGGGGAGTGGCCCGGGGCAGGGCCTGTGGAGGGCACCACACGGCCACCTCCCCGGTCAGGCCTTGCCACAGCTGTGGTCCAGGCTCACCCGGCTTCTCTCCTGCAGCTGTCAGTGTGCCCGGTCCCCCAGGCCCACCCGGTCCCCCGGGGCCCCCTGGAGCCATGGGGGCCTCCTCAGGGGTAAGACGCCGGTGGGACGTCTGGGGTGGGCACGGGGAGGTGGGTGGTCTGTCGGGAAGCTCCCACAGCCTGGCACTGGAGGTGCCAGGGTGCACACGTCATCTGCGGCCCTGGGCAGCCAGCGGGCACCCGGGGCCTCACGGCTAGCTCTCCCAGCCCAAAGCCATGCCCAGCCAGGACGCACGGGTCCTGTCTGCCCTCCCCCTGCTCTTGCGGCCAGCCCCAGGCCCGGGGTGGGGGCAGCGGGACCCACTCGGGCTTGGGACTCCAGCAGGTGAGGATCTGGGCCACGTACCGGACCATGCTGGACAGAGTGCGCGAGGTGCCCGAGGGCTGGCTCATCTTCGTGGCGGAGAGGGAAGAGCTCTACGTCCGGGTCCGAAACGGGTTCCGGAAGGTCCTGGTGCGTTCTCACCTCCAGAGCAGACGGTGTTGGGCACCCGCAGGGGTCCATCTCCGGACAGGGGCGCTGCTGTGCAGGGGTGGAGATCCCATACCCACCCCGCCACCACTGGCCCGTGGCCTACAGCAGGAGCTGGCATTCACCAGCTGCTCCTTACGCATGTTGGCTTTAAAATTTCTTCTTGAAATGAACAGACTTGTTTTCTGGCTGTCTTTGCCTAGAGGTGAGCAGATGTGTTGCACAGGCTGCAGGGCCCGGCGCTAGGCCTGGGGCCACAGTTTCTGTGGCCCACGTGGGGACGGGAGACAGCTCGTGTGAATGCACCACAGTCTCCCGGGCCCGAGGAGCCCCTGTAGCCCGTTCTTCCCACCCCGGCCCGGCTCTCCCCTCAGCAGACCTGACGGTGTCCGCGTGTGCTAGGTGTGGGGTCACCGGGGTGTGGCCAGGCCCTGCCGCCAAGGCCTTCACTTCTGAGAATGGGGAGTGGGGGGAGGTGCCATGGCCCCTGGGCGCTCCATCCGAGCCTTCCGCAGCGAACCCCGCTCTTGCCTTCCAGCTGGGGGCCCAGACGTCACTCCCGCCAGCGTCGGTAAGTGGTGTTTTTCCTTTGCGCCATCGCTAGTGTCTGAGAGTGATCGTTTCTGGGCGTGTTCGGTGCTTGGAATCCCAGAGGGTCCCTGTGGGGAGGGCGCGGGCAGCGCTGTCCACGAGGCCTGCCTCTTCCTCTGCTCCAGGTATCCGCCACTCCTTGTCAAACCACATCGTGCCCGTCTTGGAGTGCTGGTGTGGGTGGTGTGGACAGATGGGTGTGGATGGATGGGTGGACACGTGTCATGTGGTAGATGGATAGGTGGGCAGGTGACTGAATGTAAAGGTGGGTGGGTGACGATCAGACAGATAGGTGGACAGAGCTGGATGCCAGTACAGAGGGAGGAGGCACAGCTAGACAAGGCACTCTGTGATCCTGTGGACCTTCGTGGCCCTGTGACACCCCCCTGGGGCCCACCCCGTGGCCCTGTGGACCCCTGGGACCCACCCCGTGGCCCTGTGGACCCCTGGGACCCACCCCGTGGCCCTGTGGACCCCTGGGGCCCACCCCGTGGCCCTGTGGACCCCTGGGACCCACCCCGTGGCCCTGTGGACCCCTGGGACCCACCCCGTGGCTCTGGCCCCCGCACAGGGTAACGAGGTGGCGGCCGTGCAGCCTCCTGTGGTGCAGCTACATGAGGGTGGCCCGTACGCCCGGAGGGAGCACACGCACGCCACAGAGCGGCCCTGGCGGGCAGACGGCGTCCTGGCGGTCCCTCCGCGCCTGCCAGACCCCCAGGCGTACCCTGGCGTCCCACACCACCACCACCACAGCCACCACAGCTCCTACATGCACCTCCGGCCAGCCCACCCCACCAGCTCACCTGCCCACACCCACCAGGACTTCCAGCCGGTGGTGAGTGCCACGCCGGCGGCGCCTGTCCTCGGGGCTGGGTGGGGAGGTGTCCAGGGAGGAGGCCTGGGCAGGGCTACTAGTGGGCTTTTTTTTTGTAGTACTGAGACTTGAACTCAGGGCCTCATGCACTCAGCTTGGTTGCTCTGATGGTGCTTTGCCACTTGAGCCACAACTCCAGCTTTTGCTGGTTACTTTGGAGGCGGGGTTTCATGGAATTCTCTATCTACACTAGCCTCAACCCCGAGGTCTGGACCTCAGTGACTACAGAGCCCGGCATAAGTGCGGTGGGGGCCTGCCCGGCCCATTCCGCCGGCCGTCACCTAGGCGGAACAGCGCTGGACCCAGCAGGCCCTGCCCACGCTCACTGGACAGGGCACTGGAGGCTCCCGGGTGGCTGCCACGCACCAGGCCGGGGTGGGAGAGGCTCCACTGGGCCAGGGCGAGGGCAGGGCTGTCCCTGCCGCCCACACGCCGCCAGGCACCCCACATCAGCCCCAGACACAGTCTCCCCGGTTAACGAGACTCAGGGACCTCACCACAGGCTGGACTGCGGGACCTTTCGTGACGTGACATGGGTCTCTCTCCCAGCTCCACCTGATCGCGCTCAACAGCCCCCTGCCGGGCGGCATGCGTGGCATCCGAGGGGCCGACCTCCAGTGCTTCCAGCAAGCGCGGGCCGCGGGGCTGCCCGGCACCTTCCGTGCCTTCCTGTCCTCCCGGCTGCAGGACTTGTACAGCATCGTGCGTCGCGCTGACCGCGGGGCAGTGCCCATTGTCAACCTCAAGGTGGGCGCGTGGTCCGGTGGGGCCCAAGGGGGCTGCGCCCAGGGGCTCGGGAGACTCCAGCATTCACAGCCCCTTCCCGGCCCCGAGGCCTGTCCCACCCCTGCCCGACCGCCTCGTGGGATGGCGCCACACACGGAACGCACCCAGGACCAGGTCCTGAGACACCTCGGTCCCTCTGCTGTGTGCCTCGCTGGGTCTTATGCCCTGCTGCTTCGTGCCAGGGGCTGGGGTTCCCACGGCCTGGGGCTATAGATGGACCTTCGGAGCTCCCGGGAGGGGAAGTGACCCCAGATTGTGGGGCCTCCCTGGCACGGGTGCCTCTGGCCTAAAGAACCCCCTTCTCGGCAGGACGAAGTGCTGGCCCCCAGCTGGGAGGCCCTGTTCTCGGGCTCCCAGGGCCAGCTGCAGCCTGGGGCCCGCATCTTCTCTTTCGATGGCAGGGACGTTCTGAGACACCCCTCCTGGTAGGTCCTCCAGCATGCCATGCCCCAGCTCCGGGGGAGCCCCGCACGGGAGGCTGCGCGTTACCCAACTGCTCACCCTCCCCTCGGCCTCGACTGATCCTGGAGTTACAAACCCGCAGGGCGTGGTGGTGCTGATACCCCTGTAATGGTATTTCTAAGAGCAAGGTGGCTCTCGGCACGCTTGAATACATGTGGGCTGGGTCCGCGCCCCTTGATGCCCGTTTCCTACCATGGAAACAGTAAAGGTCAGCTCAGAGCAGCGGCCTCGCTGCAGGCCGGTGGCCGCGCCGCCGTCACGCCGGCCTCATGGGCGCCGCTCCAGCCGCCAGCTGTGATGGTACCCGCGTTCCAGTGTCCTCGCGGGGCGGCGTGGGACGGGGGCGGGGAGTCCAGGCAGCGGCTGGGCTCTGGCCGGCGTGCAGGGCCTTCCCGGCCTGTGAGCCATGTGGACCCTGGCAGGTGGCGCTTGCTCTTAGCATCCCCAGGATGCCGTCAGGAGGGTGTGGTGTCAGGCGGGGTGTCCACCCCACCGGGAAAGGCCACCTCGGAGGCGGTCTGGCCCAGGCCGCTCTCTTCCCACTGCAAAGCGAAGTTCTCCAAACCCCAGGGCCCTCTCACTGCCCCAGGGGTGCAGGTCTGGAGGTAGCTGACAGCCCGTGCACTTTGCAGGCCTCAGAAGAGCGTGTGGCACGGCTCGGACCCCAATGGGCGCAGGCTGACCGAGAGCTACTGTGAGACGTGGCGCACAGAGACCGCCTCGGCCACGGGCCAGGCCTCCCCTCTGCTGGCAGGCAGGCTGCTGGAGCAGAAGGCCGCCGGCTGCCACAACCCCTACGTCGTCCTCTGCATCGAGAACAGCTTCATGACCTCTGCCTCCAAGTAGGGCCTCTCCCGGCCGAGACGCTGGAAGGGCAGTGGTCAAAAGGGCAGGACAGGGCAGCCCCGAGGACATGACCGGGTCCTCTCCTATATAGTTCCCATTTCATGTAATCCTCAAGAAATAAAAAAAAAGCCAAAGAATATATTTTTTAGAAAGTTTAAAAAAACAGAGAGTCTGATGCCAAGACTTCCTGTCCTCCCCCTGTGGCACGGTGGCCCTCCACTCTAGACCTCAGCTGAAGTCAGCAAGAGGCCAACTCAGGACTCTGCCGAGCCGGCGGGCTGCCCGGGTCCTCGGGGCAAGGAAGGGGCAGACTGCTCTGCCTGGTGCCTTTCTATATACAAACTCAGGTCGGTGCTGAGGGTGGACAGGCCGGTCAGAGGCAGTGGGGCTTCTCTGGCCACGTAGCAGCACAGGCCTTTCTCACCCAGGGGCCTGGGCCGTGCCCCCTCCATACCCACCCCGTCCAGCCAGCCCAGCCGGGGCCGGCCCAGAGCCGGTGTGACCTGTGAAACCCACCTTCAGGCTCTTGAGACTGTCTTCCCAGGGACCCACAAGGTCAGGTCAGACCAGGGCCTGCCCCAAGCCGAGCTGGAGCAGGGCACAGGTCAGGCCGCGGCAGCCTTCCGTCCCTGAGCCCAAGCCCAGGGCTCCTTTCTGCAGTGAAGTCCAGACTTGGCATCTTCACAGAGGTCTGGAGGACCGTGTGCGGGGCCACCCAGGCTGCCCGCAGTCTAGGCACGGCGGTGAAACCAGCATTGCTGGTCCTACAACTGTGATGTGAAGCCACTTCCAATAAAAATGGACCGTTTACACAGACACCTGGTTTGTAAACCGCCCTGGTGGTGGCTGTCTCTGCACTTCTCACTGGCAGGCTGTGAGGCGCACACACGTGCCAGGCACGGGTATAAAGTGTGCATGCGGGTGTGGAAGCACAGATGCAAAAGCACAGACACAAGTGTGGAGTGTGCACGGGTGTGAACATGTGCACATGGGTGTGAACACGCACACACAGGTGCAGAAGTGCGTGCCCGGTGTGACTGCTGCAGGAGCCTCCTGACGGCTCCAGGTGCCCCGGTGCCCTCAGGCTCCCAGGCCAACCTCAGAGCCACCCCGATGGCTCACCCCCAGCTGTGCTGTCCTGGCTGGCGCGGGCCCTGGGGCTGGCGCTGCCACACAAGGCCGGTCAGCTTGCTCCCGGGGAGCACCGCGTCCCTGCCCTGGTGGCAGGCACAGTGCAGGAGCAGGAGGCATCAGTCCTCAGCCCAGACTGAGGTGGGGAGGGGCCGGGCAGCCCTGCTGCGCCGCGGCCGCACTGGACAGCTATGGGGTGGGTCAGGCAGGACACAGTCCCTTGGCTGCCAGGTCCAGCAGAGCTGCAGGACCTCTGTGTGGCTCATGTGGCTCCACACAGGGCTGTCTGACTCACCCGTGTGCAGCCTCTCCCATCTAAGGTCCTTCCCGTCGATCTTGGGGAGCGGAGGCCCAGCTGGCTCCCGAGTCCTCCACCTGACTGGAAAGTCTACTTCCTGTCTCATGCTGGCTTGTCCTTGGGCCAGCCAGCGGGGGTGCTACTCCAGGGCAGGGCATGGACTGGGCGGGGGCCCCCCGAGGGCACTGAGTCCTGGGTTCTTGGTTCATGACCCTGGTCCTGGCTCACTGACCATGGCCCTCGGCTGGGCTTCGTGGTGCTCACCATTTACGGAGACATCACTCAAGTTACAAATGACTCAGGCTAGGAACCACACTTCCTGAGTACTACCGAGGAAGCAGCCCTCAGCTCCCACCCCAGAGACCTCAGCTCCCACCCCACACACACCTCGGCTCCCACCCCACACACACCTCGGCTCCCACCCCACACACACCTCGGCTCCCACCCCACACACACCTCGGCTCCCACCCCACACACACCTCGGCTCCCACCCCACACACACCTCGGCTCCCACCCCAGAGACCTCAGCTCCCACCCCACACACACCTCGGCTCCCACTCCACACACACCTCAGCTCCCACCCCACACACACCTCAGCTCCCACCCCACACACACCTCAGCTCCCACCCCACACACCTCAGCTCCCACCCCACACACACCTCGGCTCCCACCCCACACACACCTCAGCTCCCACCCCACACACACCTCAGCTCCCACCCCAGAGACCTCAGCTCCCACCCCACACACACCTCAGCTCCCACCCCACACACACCTCGGCTCCCACCCCACACACACCTCAGCTCCCACCCCACACACACCTCAGCTCCCACCCCACACACCTCAGCTCCCACCCCACACACACCTCGGCTCCCACCCCACACACACCTCAGCTCCCACCCCACACACACCTCAGCTCCCACCCCACACACACCTCAGCTCCCACCCCACACACACCTCAGCTCCCACCCCAGAGACCTCAGCTCCCACCCCACACACACCTCAGCTCCCACCCCACACACACCTCAGCTCCCACCCCACACACACCTCAGCTCCCACCCCAGAGACCTCAGCTCCCACCCCACACACACCTCAGCTCCCACCCCACACACACCTCAGCTCCCACCCCACACACACCTCAGCTCCCACCCCACACACACCTCGGCTCCCACCCCACACACCTCAGCTCCCACCCCAGAGACCTCAGCTCCCACCCCACACACACCTCAGCTCCCACCCCAGAGACCTCAGCTCCCACCCCACACACACCTCAGCTCCCACCCCACACACACCTCAGCTCCCACCCCAGAGACCTCAGCTCCCACCCCACACACACCTCAGCTCCCACCCCACACACACCTCGGCTCCCACCCCACACATACCTCAGCTCCCACCCCACACACACCTCAGCTCCCACCCCACACACACCTCGGCTCCCACCCCACACACACCTCAGCTCCCACCCCACACACACCTCAGCTCCCACCCCACACACACCTCAGCTCCCACCCCACACACACCTCAGCTCCCACCCCACACACACCTCGGCTCCCACTCCAGAGACCTCAGCTCCCACCCCACACACCTCAGCTCCCACCCCACACACACCTCAGCTCCCACCCCAGAGACCTCAGCTCCCACCCCACACACACCTCAGCTCCCACCCCACACACACCTCGGCTCCCACTCCAGAGACCTCAGCTCCCACTCCACACACACCTCAGCTCCCACCCCACACACACCTCAGCTCCCACTCCACACACACCTCAGCTCCCACCCCACACACACCTCAGCTCCCACCCCACACACACCTCGGCTCCCACCCCACACACACCTCAGCTCCCACCCCACACACACCTCGGCTCCCACCCCACACACCTCAGCTCCCACTCCACACACACCTCGGCTCCCACTCCAGAGACCTCAGCTCCCACCCCACACACACCTCGGCTCCCACCCCACACACACCTCGGCTCCCACCCCACACACACCTCAGCTCCCACCCCACACACACCTCGGCTCCCACTCCACACACACCTCGGCTCCCACCCCACACACCTCGGCTCCCACTCCACACACACCTCGGCTCCCACTCCAGAGACCTCAGCTCCCACCCCACACACACCTCAGCTCCCACTCCACACACACCTCAGCTCCCACTCCACACACACCTCGGCTCCCACCCCACACACACCTCGGCTCCCACCCCACACACACCTCGGCTCCCACCCCAGAGACCTCAGCTCCCACCCCACAGACACCTCAGCTCCCACCCCAGAGACCTCAGCTCCCACCCCACACACACCTCAGCTCCCACCCCACACACACCTCGGCTCCCACCCCACACACACCTCAGCTCCCACCCCACACACACCTCAGCTCCCACCCCACACACACCTCGGCTCCCACCCCACACACACCTCAGCTCCCACCCCACACACACCTCAGCTCCCACCCCAGACACACCTCAGCTCCCACCCCACACACACCTCAGCTCCCACCCCACACACACCTCAGCTCCCACTCCACACACACCTCAGCTCCCACTCCACACACACCTCAGCTCCCACCCCACACACACCTCAGCTCCCACCCCACACACACCTCGGCTCCCACTCCACACACACCTCGGCTCCCACCCCACACACACCTCAGCTCCCACTCCAGAGACCTCAGCTCCCACCCCAGAGACCTCAGCTCCCACCCCACACACACCTCAGCTCCCACCCCAGAGACCTCAGCTCCCACCCCACACACACCTCGGCTCCCACCCCACACACATCAGCTCCCACCCCACACACACCTCGGCTCCCACCCCACACACACCTCGGCTCCCAATCCACACACACCTCGGCTCCCACTCCACGGGGACCTCCGCTCTCCCCCCAGGGGGTCCCCCAGCTCCCACTCCACAGACACCTCAGCTCTCCCTCCTGCTCCCCCTCCGCAGGAAGTAGAGCCGCAAGTAGGGCCTATTTACACCCCCAGCCTCCTGGGTCGCCAGGTAGGCTTGCTGTGTATGCTGTGGCGAGCTGCCCCGGGCAGTACTGACACACGTTGGGAATGGAGGAGGAATGGCTGGAGGCCTGGGCAAAGCTAAAAAGTCTATGCCATCTGATCCCAAGCATCTGCTGCCCACCTGGGACCAGCTTCTCGTACAACAGAGCAGCCAATTGGAGCTTTTCATTTTATGTCAGATTTTAAAGAAGACCATCCAAACATGCAAGCAGTCTGGGCAGCTGGAAGTGTCACAGTTTAGTTAGGGACCTGAGAGAAACTCCTCCCCCACTCTGGGGGGGGGTCCGGGCCCTGGTGGGGGTCCGGGCTTCCTCCCCGGCCCTCGTACAGACGCAATTAGCCCGCAGACCTCCCAGAGGCTCCTCAGGCAGGGAGGCCTCGTGGACGGACAACTCACTCCAGCAGCCCAGTCCACGGTGGCTGATGTGCAGGCCAGGCAGCGCTTCAGATGCTGCCAGCAGGCTGGAGTGTGGAGGATGCCACCGGCAGGACACGCTGGCCAGCCGGCCGCTGGGAGGTAGTGCCAAGGTGCGGGCCACTTGGACTCCTACAAAGAACCAGAGGGACCCCACACTCGCACATCCAGACTGGATCATGGCACGGCAGCAGCCAGGCCCAGAGGGTCAGGATGGCACAGACCACGCACCTGTTCCCTGGGCGGGGCCGGTCAGGCCTTGGCCTCGTGCTCAGAAGGCCCCAGGCTGGCCTTGGTGCCGCCGTCCGGGGGCAGGGGCACAGCTGAGGGCTGCAGGCCGTCCTGGCTCCCGTCCAGCACGCTTGGCGTGGGGGGCTTCTTCTCCCAGGGGCTCCTTAGCTCCTGTGCCTGGGGCAGCGGCAGGTGACAGCCCCTGTGGCCTTGCGGCCAGCGCTGCAGGCAGGACAGTGGCAGGCGGGGACCCCACTGGCAGGACTGCAGGCCGCCCAGCACCGCCCCGGCCAGGTAGATGACAGACAGCACCAGGAAGTACATAAAGTAGACGAAGAACTGGAAAAGAAAGGCAGACATGAGGGGCGGGTAGAGCCAGCCGGGAGCTGCACGCCCCTCCTTCAGCCGGGGTGGCCACGGAACACAGCCCCAGGTTACAAGCGTGTGGCCCGAGCATGGGTGCCCACTGCTGTGGTGCCCACCACCCTTCCTCCTCCCTGCACAGCCCAGCCACCCTGCAGGGGCTCATACCGCCCTTCCAACAGCCCCCAGAGGAGGTCAGGGCACACAGGGCACCTGCACGGCCACCACAAGGCACAGCCCTCCAGCCCTGGGCTGAATTCCCACACTTGCCAAGAGGCTCCAGGGCGTCTGGAGTGCCGGAACTTCCCCAGGGCACACAGCAGCGCAACCTGGGCTGCGGGAAGACAGGCTCCACCCTAGCTT